CTGGTGGGGGGGGGGCGGGAGATAGCTGCAGCTAGCACTATCTTCAGGGATTTCTGTAATATGAGATCTACCACCGAACTAGGTCTTATTTTCGGGGTAGGTCTTACTTTCGGGGAAACACGGCATTATAGGTTGACATTGGTAGATTAGCTATTTTCCTGCTTACGTGTTGAGCTATCAGCCACATAGGGAGTGCATTATTTTCAGTGAGTCATACTGGTTGATTTACTAAAATAGGCTGTTCACTTTACAAGGGAATTTGCACTTTGCAAGAAACTCTTCCTTAGCTTAGTGAATTTGGTGAAAATTCACTTTGCAAAGAATACCAAAGCACGTGCTGGGAAAATAAAATAAACTATTTTTGCTTGCACATGATTAGATGTTGGAAGTCAACAGAGCAAAAGTGAATAGCCTGTTTGCCGTTAGTAAATCACCCTCATAGAATTACATGAGTGAAGGAGCAAAAAAGCACAACCACCATGTACCTCTGCAAAGCAGGTAAAAGAACGGGTGTACATGATGAACAGAAATGGCAGTTCCTATGTACACAGATCAAGCCAAACTTTTCTTTAGAGGGTACCTGTGACATCTTAAAGCATCAGAAATGAGCCACTAGTCTGTAAAAGAGGCAACTTCAAATAGGATAAGACATCATCAGGTAGCTTCCAGAGCATTCTGGAGCCCCAAATCTCCAAGCACTTTATTGGGCAATTTGTAACTAAAGGTTTTTGCTTAAAAGGTAGTTATGGCATCTTAATGCACCATAAACGGGTCACTGGTCTTTAACCTCCTTGGCGGTATTCCCGAGTGTAGCTCGGGGTTACTTCTCCATACCCTGAGCTACACTCGGGAATATCCCACAGTATTTACTTACCTTGTCCCTCGAGCCGTGCGGTGTCCTCCGGCCGGCGCCGGCATCTGTCTTCCGGGTTCCGTCCCTTGCGGGCTGACGCATGGGGGCGGAACCGGCGGGAAATTCGAAAAAAAAAACCGGAAGAAACGACAAAATAAAATAACGAAATAAATCCAAAAAAAAATTGCGCCGAAAAAATAACGAAAAGCGAAATAATCATACCGCCAGGGAGGTTAAAAGAGGAAACATGAGATAGGATAATCACAGTGGTTCACCGTCACACACAAAGGAAAATTCCAATATCAGTATCTCGTTGATATGTTTCTTTGAGAAATGTCACATCATGTCATCAGAAGCTAATGTTTCGGGACCTCGTAGGGACCCATCACCGGAGTGACATAGTAAAGGGCCCCTGCGAGGTCCCGAAACGTTATAGTAATGAGTGTGCAGCGCTAAGAGTCAGTGGCAGGTTTAATATATTAATATTGTGCAATAGTAATAATAATAGTAAATAGTTGACCTAAAATCATCAAGTGTGTTACTGTCTCAGTGACAACTTAGATAAAATAATAAGAAGGCACAATGCCTGTGCATCAAAATTTATGTGCAACAAAATTTATGTGACCTGAGTGTCACCACGTCAATCGCTATATTCCTAGCAATTGTAACAATTATTTCAAAGGTGCAACAAACTATAGTAATGCTGTTGTGCAGCTAAAAAGGATATAGAAAGATAATAGTGTACACTCATTACTATAACCATTATTGACCATTTAGGGTCCACAGTGCAGCAGCTTTTGATTACACTCCAAATCAATCCATAAGCGCAGATTTTATAATTTTATATCCCGAAACGTTAGCTTCTGATGACATGACGTGACATTTCTCAAATAAACATATCAACGAGATACTGATATTGGAATTTTCCTTTGTGTGTGACGGTGAACCACTGTGATTACTCTGAGTTTTGCACAGCGCCATCCGTGAGATCACATCGAGCACCACTGATATTGTGAGGTTGTGAGACCGTAGGGAGTGCAGGTGGCTTTCGGAAACAATGATGAGATAGGATAAGAAATCATCAGGTAGCTTCCAGAGCTTTCTGGAGCCCCAAATCCCCAATCACTATATTGGGCAAATTGCAACCAAGGCTTCCCACGTTTCACTGCGGCCTGCCCTTTACTGTCTCCCTTCAATTGTCCTGTAGATGTGATATATATAATGTCTCTGATTCTCCTTTCCCCAGGCTCTGCCAGTGAGAAGACAGAAGATGTTGTGAAGACAGACCAGAGCAGCTTGTATGTGTTGGGCATCTCTGTACTGGTACTCAATGCCCTCATAGTGGCATTTGTGGTACTCAGGTACACCAGAAGAGAGCCCACAGGTTACAGATACCATGCAGTGGCCACAAACTGAGGACTCCATATACACACACCCTGCAGTGCTCCACGTGGACCCAGTTATCTGCAGAAGAGAAGAAAGCATAAACATACTCATGTATAAACGAGTGTGCCACGGATATGAACAAGTTTCTCCGTCTATAATAAAGACTTATTTCTATTTGTTTCTAATACTGACAATTGCCAGTACATATTATAATAGCTCATTGTCTTGTTTAATTCAATAAAGCAATAACATCTTAAACTTGCCAAATTGCAGACCTTAACCTATCTTTTATAATTCGGTAACATAACTAAGCAGTCTTAAAAATTGTTTTAACTGGTTTATCGGCCAGGTCACCATCTGCAAAGAGTTTGCATGTTCTCCCTGTGTTTGTGTGGGTTTCCTCCCACACTCCAAAGACATGCTGGTAGAGGAATTGGCTCCTGTCTAAATTGGCCCTCTATGTATGCATATGTGATATGGACCTTAGATTGTAAGCTCCTTGAGGGCAGGGACTGATGTGAATGTGCTCTGTGTAAATTGTCAGCTCTATATAAATACCTGTAATAAATATAAAAAATAAACAATTGGTGCTAATTTATTGTACAGCAGTAACCTACAGCACAGCAACTACTCTGATCTGACTTCACTAAAGTCAAACCTGATTGGTTGTTAAGGGTTCTAAACTTTGCACATTATCACTGCTGCATTTAGAAATTCCACTGAGCAAAGCATGAAGCTTAAGGAGTACAGCATCTATGATCATAAAGCTAAAAATAAATCTGTATTTCTATATTAAATTTCCATAAGTTCTATCGCACTCCTAATAACCATATGCATCTAGACGTTATTGGAGATGCCCATAGGATGTACTTCCTCAATGCACTGACACCATTTTACTCAGCCCTGTGAATATGTACTTCCTTGTCACAACTCACAGAGCCTGCCTTCTGAACTACAACTCAAAATCTGAACAATGTAACATTATCATTGCTTGCTGGATGCAATGCATGATGGGCTATAGTCTTGAGAAATCGAGATTGCATCACATTACGCACCAGGGAAGGAGATGCAAAGCACCCTGGGAATCCAGGAAGTTGATTAAACTGATGGACAGATGGAAGGCAGCACTCACTACATAAAAGGGACTTTTTTTTAAGTAAGCTTTGCTTGCATGATGTAAAAAAATCCAGTGTATACCTAATATCATTTCAGGTTATTTCTAATCATTTTATTTAGATTTAAGAAATGACTGGTGAAATTGCTTACAATTGCATATAGCTTTATACAGCTATGAGACAACAGGTAAACTTCTAGATATTCCCTGCAAATATTCACTTCTTCAGTTTAGGTCCAGGTGGATGTGGCTGGAGTTTATTTCTAAAGACACGTTCTTGCTAGACCACATCCATCCACCCACCCACTTATACACATCTCCGCCACACTTCACTGCCTCTACAATAGTCAGTCAGAGCCCTCAGAAAACATTTTTTACCCATTTTTCTGGGTATGGGGGAGCGTGTACCCTCCTCCTATGATGCAGTGTTCAGGCCACGGTGGCCAATCGCCAGGCCTGAAAATAGTTACTGTATATGAGAGAGGGTGATGGCATTAACCCTGGGTAAGCTCCAACACCAGCTAACATTTTTGGATTTAACAGCACTTGACTACTTGTTCCAACGGAGGTAACGGAGCACCTTCTCTGCTTTCATCAACACCACACTCTGACCCATCAACGTAAGACCAGAGAGAGCTAGAAGCAGCCGGCAACCTGGAAAGAGTCACCATGGACTAACTTAGTCTTAGCAAGTCAAAGGCTCGTCCACCTTATAGTAAATGAGAACCTTCACCGACTTATAGTCGATGTTACACTAGTAATTCTAAAAAAGCCCCAATGGCACCCACTCTGATCTGGAATTTTAAAAGGTGACTAGAGTTTCAAGCAAATGAGGTAGCCCAATCGGCCTATACATAAAGTGAGTCTTCAGACACAGGGCAAGCACTGAGCCAATGCCAACGGCTACACCGTCGTTACCAGAATGGAGTCTGAAAAAGCAGCTTATGTTAGCAGTTAGGCTAGACTTCTCACGGCAGACCTGAAGAAAAGACATCCATCTTCCTAGGACACTAGGAAAAAACTGAGGCATGCTAATAGTAGAAGGGATTATCTTGGGCTGGCCTATAATTTTTTATCTTCTTTTTGCCCGTGTCCTTCCCTGTAGTGGGAAGTATAACCGGAAGGGGAAAGGCTTCCGGTGTCACTCAATGGATGAGAAAGAAATGCCAATTGTTTGGGATACACAGTGCTTTTGCAAACTAAATATTGTCTAGTTGGGGGTTACATCTACTTCAAACGTACATAGAAAAGTGGCCAGTCCGCAACCCTATTGTTCCAGGAAGGTGTACTCATAAACCTTTCTGGAAACCTCCATATAGACAGTGGAGAGCACCAGAGAAGGTCAGACTGGCTATGTGCCTTATTATGCCTGTGAGTGGTTATTTCAGCAATCACATGGCAATTTTTACAAGCTCTCCCCTTCCTCTTACAACAGAGGCAGGGGAGAGTAAAGGAACCAATGAATGAATAAAACATTCACTAGCACCTGGTGAAAACAAGCTGCAGCAGCAACAAAAAAATAAACTCTCACACCCACTCCTTTCCTATGTCAGCGCCATTATACCTCTGCTATGACCTGTATATTAACCCCTTCACTGCCCTTATTTTTTACATCTGAATATTACCCCTCCATCTCCATCCTCCCACTGTACATTAACCCCTTTACCTCATCCCTCTGTGTATGACCTGTGCATTCAATGTATCTAGTGCAGTGCACCGTTAACAAGCTTCTTGTTTTAAACCCCTCAATACTGGCATGTTTCTTCATTTCCCAAAAATTGTGGGGAAAGAAAAATCATAGTACCTCGGGTTGTCTACTTATCCAAAAAGGAATCATTGGGAGGTTTTCATATTGTGCTGGCACTTTTATAACAGAAAGTAAGGAAAATGTTTTTTTTTCCCCCAAATATTTTGGTCTGTTTTCCTTTATGTAGTAAAAAATTTTTTTTACATCACTTATTAAATGCCACTAAAAGAAAGCTCTATGTCTTAAAAAATGATATAAAATTAATTTGTGCACAGTGCTGCATGACGTAGTAATTCTCAGTCAAACTATCAGAGCACTGAATACTGAATAATGGCCTTGTAATGAAGAACATGTTGGTCCTAAAGTGGTTAGTGTTACTGGTTTCCTAAGAAACTGCTTCAAAAGTTATGATTTCCCCAGTAGCGAGAATCAATTCAGTACATGAAAAACAACGGACCCATGAATGCTTGTAGATGTCTATGTAATGAATGACTATACATAAAGGTCACAGCATTGCTGCCTGTAGGGCCTCTGTCCTGGTCACCTCTCCTAGATTGCTGCAATGTCCGCTTTCATTAAACCTAACCTGTATGGTGATATACACAGATGGTAAAGTCCCTTTAATATTTACAGTAGTTATCTGTATTGCTGTGATAAAACTACACCTGTCGTTTTTCCCTCTGAAAGAGCACAAAACATGTTCTTTACTTAGAAGAAACGGCACGGTTCCTTCCCAGCAGCGTTTGGGCATTTTAAAGGCTATTGTATTGGAAATACAGGTGAAACTTGAATAATTAGAATATCGTGCAAAAGTAATTGCAGTAGGTGCTGCAAAAGGGGCCCAAACCAAGTACTGAGTACATATGCATGCTTGTACTTTTCAGAGGTCCGATATTGTTCTATGTACAATGCTTGTTTTATTGATTGCATGTAATAATCTACTTTTTTGAAGTTGTGGATTTGGGGTTCTCTGGGTTTTCATCGCTGTAAGCCATAATCATCACAATTATGACAAATCACGCTTGAATTATCTTGCTTTGCATGTAATGAGTCTATCTCATATATTAGTTTCACCTTTTAAGTTGCATTAGTGAAATAAATAAACTTTGCATGATATTCTAATTATTCGAGTTTCACCTGTACAATACAGATCTACTCACCACAGTAGCCAAAACTGAAATCCCTACATAAAGGAGTAGCATCAGGAAGGTCTGTAGATGCCATATTTAGTTTGGCTTCTGTGTTTTCCAAAGTGATAAAACTGGTAATGGTTTATGTTATGTGACCATTTTCCATGCAAACCACCCATAGCAGTTTTCAGCAAATGTCAAGACAGAGACTTGCTGCTGAGCTTTTCAACAAGTTTTTATTGGCTACGTGAGGAATGACACACACTAAGTGATATAATGTCAATTATACACCAGAGTAAGGTTTCTGCCACCTAATACAATTTTAAAGGGTACCCGTCACCATTCTGTTGGCTGCAATGATATTTAATGCCTTAGTGGTATTGCTGAATATTGGTCAATAAGTATACTTGAGGGGGCGTGTCCTGGACATGGCGGAGTGAGGCAGCACTTCACGTGAGCTCCGTGCAGTATCCCCGGGACGGCAGAATAGAAGACGATTTACCGCAGATTTTACCCCATGTCAGTTGCTGGACATATGCTCACCGCTGGTAGAGGTCACCGACAGACAAATCTCCTCGAACTGTTCTCGCGGGCGGGAGGTGATAGCTCGGTGCGGCCGGACATGCGCCCTCTTTTGCTCCTCTCCATCGATGCGGAGAAGGCGTTCGATCAGGTTGACTGGAATTTCCTCAAGTCTACGCTCCAACATCTAGGACTGGGGGCACTTATGCGGTCATGGATTATGGCTCTTTACTCATCCCCAACGGCAGCTGTGAGAGTTAATGAAACTCGTTCAGAATATTTTTCCATCTCCAATGGCACCCGCCAGGGATGCCCCCTGTCCCCGCTCATTTTTATCCTCACGTTGGAACCCCTACTATGCACCATTAGGGCAGATGATTCTGTCGGGGGCCTTCAGGCTCCCTCGGGGACTCACAAATTGGCAGCCTACGCAGATGATCTGATTCTCTTTATATCCCGTCCAACGTCCTCGATCCCTGCCCTTATGAAAGCGTTCGACACGTATGGAAAGCTCTCTAATTTTTTGGTAAATCAGGCCAAGTCGGAAGCTCTTAACATCTCCTTACCCCCGATGGAGCTAGACCATGCGAGGTCCTCCTGCCAGTTCCGTTGGTCACAGAAGAGTCTCAACCATCTGGGAGTACGTGTTACAGCGGACCCGGACTACTTATATGCTGAAAATTATGTCCCTTTACTACAGGCAATCAAACGTGACCTCTCGAACTGGCAGGAAATCAGTATTTATAAGTTGTTGTTTGCTTAAACAGCCGATACTTTTCAATCTCGAGACCATGTTTACAGCATATATCTGATTACAGGTATACATAGACGTAGCATTATCCCAAGCCGACATGTGATATGGATCTCTATGCTCTCCTATGAGACCGCTTTTGTTTAAAATGTTAATATCAGCGCTGTAATACGTTCTCTATGCTCGGTATTCATGTATCTTTCTGTTATTTGTTTCAATAAACACAGAATTTAAAAAAAAATAAGTATACTTGAAGGGTCCATTCACACCATCTCCAGATGGTCGTTGTCTCCAGAGCAAGATAAGGCAATTTGCCTTGTCACGGACGGGCTCGGTTCACACCACCCCATTACGATGGCAACACGGTGCTGTACTTTTTTTTTCAGCACAGTGGGATGCGACACAGTACAACCGCCTCGCACATAGAACTGAATGAAATGTCACTTGTGACGTTTCAATAAAGTTCTAACAAAAAAAAGTACACTGTGCGAAGCTCTGGGATCAATGTTTCGGCACTGTGACGGGGCACCGCACACCAGACGCTGTGTGATTAGTGCAGCGTCTGGTGTGAATGGTCCCTTAAGACCAGAGCTGCTCCAGATTTTGTCTGCTCCAGTTTTGATAGATTCCCTTCCATGCGTTTTAATGACATGCATTAATTAAACAACTATTTGGAGACCAGCCAACCTGACAGCACAGCTACCAATGAGATCTTTGTGTCCCCACAGCTTTTATAAGGGGATCACATTCTCCTCGTTGGCTTTTTCATTCATTTCACATAACAGAGAATGCAACAGACAGCGTGAAACAGCAAAGAGGGGCAGAGTCAGCAAAGTATTTTTTGTTTTACTAACCAATTCCAAGAGAGTATTGAATACATTGATCCTCTGAATCCAGAAAACCTTTATAAAAAGAAGCTCCGGTATGAATGTGGTAATGTAGTATCACAACATTCCTGGTATAGTGGAGACATCATTCATGAAACCAGTCCGTTTTATTAACCTGAATGGACCGTACAGACTACAAAGCTTGTCCAATAGCCCAGCTGTACAAGGAGCAACATATGTTAGTGTATATAAATTAATTATAAAGATTTTATAAGTGGTCATGCCACCTGTACATGACAAAAAAATGCTGCCTGGAAAATAAGTAATTTAATACTCACATGTCCTGCTGCCAGCACTGACCTTCTCCTCTGTATTTACCAGATACCGCTGGCCAAAGTTTCTTCTACATCCGACACGCATGGAATTGTTGGATGCAGATTCATCTTTAACCAGCAGTATGTCTGGTCACCCTCTGCAAGCAGAATTATTTTATTTTTTTTAATTCTAGGTGACAGGGTCACTTCAAACTAGGGATGCACCGATACCAGTTTTCTGGTATCGAGTACAAGTACCGATATTTATATGTCGGTACTCGCCGATACCTAGTACAGTTACTGGTACTTCCCCTAGCATGGAGCCAGCTTCCTGGGCATTCAGGAAGCCAGGCGGCTTGTCATTACCTGCCACCCAGCTTTTTGATTGGCCGTGAAGCCGCCTGCATGCTGTTTTGCCAGCTCCATGCTGATTGGCCGGGAAGCCAGCTTCCCAACCGCACAGCTTGGAGCCGGCGGCACAGCATGGAGCCAGCTTCCCGACCAATCAGGAAGCCGGGGGCGAGTCATTACCCAACGCCTGCCTTCTTGATTGGCCTGGAAGACGGCTCCATGTTCGTGGCACTGCCGGTCAGAGGAAATCTCCCGCTGACCGGAAGTTCCGGTATCGGGGTAAGCGCCGGAGCATTTGGGTGAGTACGAGTACTCACCTACATACTCGGTATCGGCACTGATACTAGTATCGGTGCATTCCTACTTTAAACCTAAGGTAGGTATCACTAACAGCTAAAAAGATACCCAACAGCCGTGTCTTAAAACCATAACAGGAGCTTAAAATCTTGCAGGTCCATTTACATATTACTGTTCACCGGTTTATATGGTCAATTAGATTATGTAGTTCTGATGTGTAGCTAGCAAATAAAAAAATGGGCTGCACGGATTTGGATCACAAGAGTAAACCGTATATATTGGGGAGGATACCATGTGGCAACACAGTTCAAATTTCTGGAGATTAGGAAACAGCATTGGTAAGAGGTAAGCATTCATCTTACTGCGTGACCCTTCTGTACAAGCACCATCAAGGGTCAGTCAGTGTATGTTAGTGCACGGACAGTACATTACAGTCACTGTCATCATATGTGTAATCCGTGTGTCCATTGACAAGTTTGTCTCCGGTAGTTACAGGATGTGGATTAGACTTGCCGCCTCTCTCCAGCAAACATACTAATAATTGGTCTATTCTGGTGTCCAGGTGCTCCTGTAAACATTTCATCCTCTGATCAATGTGGTTCATAAGATTCCTCTCCATACGCTCGAGGTGAGCAGACAGCACTTTCTCCAAAGCTGGATCTAGCTCATCTTCTCTGCAATAAAATCGAAAACACTTCAGACAACAAGTGAAAACAATTATTGAGCTACTAAGACCATCAAAGTAAACTTTGCAACTGTGCTAAAATCCAATGCATCCAGATTTCACAGAGCAACCCACCTGGTCTGTAGGAGTGTACTGCCTGAAGCCTGCCGAGACGTAATCTCCCTCTGCTTCCTACATCAGTGTTTCGAAGAGGAGAATCTTCATAGTGTGGGCTTTCTTATATATAAATCAGGCTATTGTATGCAAAAGACATCTAGGGCCCAACAGGATCACCAGAAAACCAGGTAGACTAATGCAATAAAGGATCTACTGCATAAAAAGACTGGCAGGTGGGCTGTGCTCCCTGTATGTATATGAAGGTTAGTTGGCACTGAAAAAAATCTAATTGGCTACCAAAATAAATCAGAATATTAAAAGGGAAAGCTATGCAAAACACCTACTTAAAGTGACACTAAACTCAGGAGTTAAATCTTAAAAATGCATTCAAGCACCCTAACTATTAACAGAAATGTATCTTATTTGTGTATCACTCGGCTGTAGATCCTCAAATCATCTCTGAATTTGTGCTGACACTGTCCTTCCTTCTGGAGGGTGACTACTTTTGTCCCCCATGGTCCCTGTGTGTGTTGTAAAGTAGTCACCGCCCCAAGCTCTCTCCTGTGATGGACTACAATCTCAGTACAAATTAGTAAACCAAATATAAGATTGTAGTCCATCCCGGGAGTGAGCTTGGAGCGGTGACTACATTACAACACACACAGGGACCATGGGGAACAAAAGTAGTCACCCTCCAGAAGGAAGGACAGTGTCAGCACAAATTCAGAGATGATTTGAGGATCTACAGCCGAGTGATACACAAACAAGAGACATTTCTGTTAATAGTTAGGGTGCTTAAACGCATTTTTAAGATTTAACGCCTGAGTTTAGTGCCAGTTTAAATCGGACCTTGCACCACAATTGCAAGGTCCGCTTTTTAAGTGTTACATCGCATCCTCTAAACTGAAAAAAAGCATAAACATTCACAATAAAACCCGTGGGGGGGGAGTGAGATAGTATACTTTCCCCTGGTTTCTACCCAGGCTGCCTAGGCAAGGATGACATCATCCTCCTTCCAGTCACATCTAGGGGAATGTAGAGTAGCCCAAATCTTAACAATCACTTTATGGATATTGCTTGGATTGCTTATATAAAAAATATGTGGCTTGATTTGGGCTTTAAGACTTGCCCTTTAAATGTCTGTATTACCCACCTTGGCACAGAACATGACTTGTTTCCACAGTCTTGATCAGTGTTCCTCTGTAGAGCAAGATTTTGCAAGAGAGGCAGAACAGATTCGGAAGTGACGCCCTGACCCAGTTGATTCTGCAGAAATGAAGACATCATAGACTTGACATCAGTGGCTGACGATTGTTGGTAGGAAGGACGGCACTGTGCAGGTTCCAGTTGTGTATCAAGAGTCTTTTCAGCCTGCTGAAGAGTTTCCTCTTTACGTTCCTCTTTCTTCTGATGAGTGTTAGGTTGGAAGCTACTAAACAGATGCAGCAACTGAGCCCCAAATGGAGCCTGATTCTGTAAGTGAGAAATAATAGCAAAACGTAAACTGAAGGAAACTGCAGATACTATGGAGGTTTGACCAAAACAACAGAAGTACACAAGAACAAATTCACTGAAGACACCAGGCAAGTATCACCATGCAAAAGAGTTACATAGAAGCAAAATCACTGCAGACATTATGCTTGCACACAAGAGAGGTACATATGGGCAAAATCACTGCTGACATCACGCAGGCACAGAAGAAACGAACAAAGGGACAAATTCACTGCCGATACCATGCAGGCACACAAGAGGGACACACAGGGACAAAATCACTGCAGACACCATGCAGGCACACAGGACAAATTCAATGCCGACACCATGCAGGCTCACGAGAGGGGTACACAGGACAAATTCAATGCCGACACTATGCAGGCACACTAGAGAGGAAGGAACACAGGGACAACATCAATGCAAACACATTTGAAGTCTGACTCCTCAGCTTTCTGAGACAGATGTCCTATTAGGTAAGGTGCCACCATACTTCTTCTGTTCCTAAAGAACCTAGGGCAGCACTACCTAAGTCCATCTGAGCAGTGCTGATCACACATAAAGGCAGTTCTTCTGTGAAGGTTAAAGCCCAAAACTAGACATGTTTTTTAGTTCTGGGTAGATTAGGGAAAATGTCAACACAAAGGGGAAAGAAGGAGTCACGCTTGTAGTAACAATTATCAAGACAGATCTCCCAGGTTTCAAAGATCATATAAAGCAAGCAGAGTTCCCCTTAATGAAAGAAATCCCACAATCGGAGCTGTCTGTAAGTATAAAACAGGCTATATATTTGTATCAAAATTTAATGAAAAAAAGATTAGGGAAAATGTCAGAACCAGTGGTTTTTTGGTGGGGTTTTTATTGCCTTTTCCCCCTCACTTCCTGTTTCTGTGACAGGGAGGTCAGAGGGACAAAAAGTAATGGGAAGAGAGGCAGCAATACAGATTTGTGGGGGGAATGTTTAGAACCTCAGTGACATTTTTCTGTTATCTGTGCCTTCCTGTCCCTTCATTTAATGCCTTGGTGTCTAAGGAATAGGAAAAAGTGATGGGAAAATTTCCCAATTAAGTCATGGCAATAAAAACCCTGACATTGAGCTGCATTGAATTGTTTGTTTAAAGTGACACTAAATGCAGGAGTTAAATCTTAAAAATGCATTCCAAGTATCTTAACTATGAACAGAAATATATCTTATTTGTGTATCACTCGGCTGTAGATCCTCAAATCTCTGAATTGGTGCCGACACTGTCCTTCCTTCTGGAAGGCGACTACTTTTGTTCCCCATGGTCCCTGTGTGTGTTGTAATGTAGCCACCGCTCCAAGATCACTCCTGTGATGGACTACAATCTCATGTTAAGTTTACTAATTTGTATTGAAATTATAGTTTATCAGGAGAGTAAGCTTGGATCGATGGCTACTTTACAACACACACAGGGACCATGGGGAAGAAAAGTAGCCCCCCTCCAGAAGGAAGGACAGTGTCAGCACCAATTTAGAGATGATTTGAGTATCTACAGCCGAGTGATACACAAATAAGATACATTTCTGTTCATAGTTAAGATACTTGAATGCATTTTTAAGATTTAACTGCTGAGTTTAGTGTCACTTTAATATCTGTTTGGCGTTTAACTTTAAAGTATTGGAAAGATTGCAGTGACTGTGATCAGTACACATGTGCTCACCTTCTGCTGTGCTTGTACCATGTTCATGAGCTGCTCAGCTCCAGGTGACATTTTCCCTCCCATGCTGTCCATGATACTCTGCACACGCTCCATATTAATGGTCGGGCCCAGCAAAGATGAAGTCTGGGAGCGTCTTTCAGGGACAGGCGTAACTTGCACTGAAATCTCACCCACAAGGACACTTTGTTTCCCTCCAAGTGAAAGTAGCTGCACAGGAGAAGAAAAAAAAAAAGTCTCTATCAGTAAAATATGTATATGCACCTGTACCAGGCTAAAAACAATTGCCTACACACATCACTAACACTCCTTTCATCTAGATATATGTTCCTTGTATACAATGGAAAATGTCTGTATTTTTATACCATGCATACTAGGTGGCACTTCCATTGGAATTCACAAGAAAATTCTTTGGAAAAGCATCTCAAATGTGTCAGACATGCTGCCAGAGAGCTGACCCATAGAATCGCCGTGAGCCAGAAAGTAACTGAACAGATACACCCAGATCATCCTTAGCATTATGACCACCAGCCTAATATTGAGTAGGTCCCCCCCTCCCCCCATTTTGACACATGGACTCCACTAGACATCTGAAGGTATTGTATGCTGTGTTATCTGGCACTCAGCCGTCAGTAGCAGATCCTTTAAATCCTGTGTTTGTGAGGTGAGGCCTCCATGGATGGGACTTGCTTTTACAGTACATCCCACAGATGCTCGATTGGATTGAGATCTGGAGAATTTGTAGGACGAGTCAACACCTCAAACCATTCTTGAACCATTTTTGCAGTGTGGCAGGGAGCATTATGTGACTGAAAGAGGAATACCATTGTCGCTTGGTCAGCAACAGTGTTTAGGTCGGTGTTATGTGTCAAAGTATCATCTACATGAATGGTCGGAAATAAAAGGTATCCCAGCAGAACATTGCCCAAAGCATCACACTGTCTCTGCCGTCTTTCCATCTTCCCATAGTGCATCCTGGTACCACCTTTTTCCCCATGTAAGCCACACACACATACCGGGCCAACCAAATATAAAAGAAAGCGTGATTCATCAGACCAAGCCTCCTTCTTCTATTGCTCCATGGTCCAGTTCCGACGCTCATGTGCCCGTTGTAGGCACTTTTGGCAGTGGACACGGATCAACATGGGAACCGCGACTGGTCTACGGCTATGCAGATCCATACGTAACAAACTGCAATGCATTGTGTGTTCAGACACCTTTGTATCAGAACCAGCATTAACGTTTTCAGCAACACAGTAGCTCTTCTATTGGATCGGACTACACGGGCCAGCCTTCACTCCCCACCTGCATCAATGAGCCTTGGCTGCCCATGACCCTGTCGCTGGTTCACCGGTTTTCCTCCCTTGGACCACTTTTGGTAGGTCCTGATGCCTGCAGACCGGGAACATCCCACAAGAGCGGCAGGTTTTGGAGTTGCTCTGACCCAGTCATGTAGACATCACAATTTGGCCCTTGTCAGTCACTCAAATATTTACACTTGTCCATTATTGTTTCTGCTTCCAACACATCAACTTTAGGGACAAGATGTTCACTTGCTGCCTAAAATATCCCACCCACTTCCAGGTGACATTGTAACGAGATAATCAATGTTATTCACCTCACCTCTCAGTGGTGGTAATGTTATGGCTGATCAGTTTCTACCTGCATATAATAGAAAGGCTGCACAGAAGGAGTTACACCAATTCATGGTCTCTGGGGCAAAGCTGCTGTCCATGACAAGTCAATTTTCTCTATTCAGACACTGGGAAAGGGAAAAAGTCATCTGACTGGTTTCTTTAGGCAGCAGACAACTCATAGTATTTGAGGTTGAATAAAGACATAAGTCCATCAAGTCCCACCTATTGTGTAGATATCCAGAACTCTGTTCTGGATATCTCAGCCTCGATGTGGGTTCGACATGAACACTCATTTCGTCTGCAGATAACCGCAGAACACTGTACATGGGCAGCATGCCTACCAAACATAAAAGCTCTACATTTCTTATCAGACACAATGACCCCGATTCCTTAAAGCACTGTCATGCTGGAAAGTGAATTCTCACTTATTGTAGTGAATGAGGTGAAACAAAAGCAAAAAAACTCACTTTGCAGAGAATAACCAATCTTGCGCAAGAAAAAAACAAAACAGGATTTTTGCTTGCACAAGATTGGATGATTGAAGTTAGCACAACGTCATCTCATTTACTAAGCAAATTAGTTTAGTATACGAGGTGAGGTTGTGATCATCAATAGCAGTGGCAATGGCGGCTCTTATAGTCCACAACGACAGGTGTGTAGAAAATGAGGATCACCAGAGCTCGGAAGATGACGTAAATCTTAGTGTTAATTTATTAAGCCCTTGCCGTCCCCCCATTGTAAAACTACGGGCAGACGGCGGATCCTTCCCGGCGGGGTCACGTAAAATGTATGTCTTTTTTCTCTGCTCACGGCCGCGCGCGAGCAGAATCCCGCCAGGAATCTGTAGTCGTTACTGGCTGCTCCACATACAAGCAATCGGTGGCTCTATAGCCGTCTGATCGCTTGTATGTGCCGCCATGTCTTAAATATAAAGAGGACATGTCAGTGTGCCTGTGTTATCACACGGGGATTGTTATCCCTCTATGTGATAGCAATAACATTAAGTGTAAAAAAAATAAAAATGAAAGTCACATATAAAAAAATGCAAAAAAAAAAAAGTTTTAAGTCCCCACCCCCATATATACGCATATATAAACGTAAATAAGCGTCGAGTGCGCCAACGCGCGAAAGCGATAATTGCAGTATACATGTTACATATCGCCACGAACATCGGAGTGAGAGCAATAATTTTAGGGCCATCAATCACTGATAACACTAAACTGATGAGCGTTAAAAGCTTGTAAAGCGTTGCCAATGGCCAATTCTGGGTATTGTCATTTTTTGAGGTTTCCTTGGCGCGCACAATTTTAAAGCTTGACATGTTTGGTGTCTATTTACACGACGTGACCCGATCTTTTATATTTTACCAAAAAATTAGGTATTATTAAATGTTTTATCATTTAATATAGGGAAAAGTTTTTTTTCCCAAAATTTACGGTAATTTTTCCTTAATATAGTAAAACCCCCAGTGGTGAATAAATACCACCAATAGAAAGCTCTATGTGTCCCCAAAAAGTGTATAAAATTAATTTCAGTACAGCGTTGCATGATGGAATAAACGTCATTCAAAGTAAAGCAGCGCTGAATACTGAAAAATGGCCTGGACAGGAAAGGGTGTAAACACCTGGTCATCAAGTGGTTAAAGGCAATCGTCACATACCTCACATAGCCAACCTTTCGGGGCCACGTAGGGTCCTTCATCAGGGCAAAATAATAACAATGTCACTATGCTGCCCTGATGAAGGGACCCTGCGTGGCACTGAAATGGTGGCTATGACGATTGCCTTTAAAAGGAGAACTATGGGGTAAAGGCTTTTCCCCATAGTTCACCTTAGGCCCCATTCACACTGAGTGATTTATTGCGCGCTAATCCGTGCGATATCGCGGATATTTACCGCGCGATATCGCTCTCCAATGCATCTCAATGGGGCTCTGTCCGTCGCTGTCGCGGGTCGTGTGTCGCTACAGCAGGACCCTTTTTGGAGCGGATTTTGCCGCGATATCGTGCGAACAAACGCGCGATATGGCGCAAAATGCAAATTGCGCGATTTGCGAATCGCTCAGTGTGAATGGGGCCTTAGGGTAACGGGAGGACACAAACTAGCGTCCTCCCGTCACCCTAGACTCAGTATACCGCGAGCTGTAGTATACGGAGACGCCGCAGCTGAAGCGGATGCCGACAATTATGTCTGGATCCGCCCAGCTGCGTGAGTGACAGCTGGCTCTGCCTATCTAGAGGCAGAGCCAGCTGTACCCGCCCCCTCCCCCGTCCGTTCCGCCAGTCAGCGCTGTGACAGGATCGAGAGGTGAGCAAACGCCGGTATGTGTTCGCTCACCTCCCGATCTACTGAGATGACCTGTGACAGTCTCATTGTCACAGGTCGGCTAGAACTATGAGGTGAGTGAAAAGCACTCACCTCATAGTTCTCCTTTAATAAATGAACACAAAGATTTACCGTCATCTTCTGAGTGCTGGTGATCCTCACTTTCTACAAATTTGATGTGCACGGCGCCATTCCTCATTATCACTATGAGCACCACTGCTGTTATTAGTCCGCATCGCGACAAGGAGTATACTACATGACAGGTGCACTTTAAACAGGCAGACACTTGCAACTGTACCTTGACTTTACAAGTGGATACGGGAAAATCGAACTTCAAGTATGTTCTGTACAAAGTAAAGGGCTCATCATCTTCTTCTGAACTTCTGAAGGTACATTTGTCTCCTCGACTGGTGCCCAGGTACTCCTCCTCCTGCCCATCCTGAGAGACACCGTAGACCTCTATGGTTCTGGCTTCGCTGCATAAGCTGACATCCAGTATGTGGTGTGTCCCTTGTGCAGCGCAGGACACAGTCAGGGAGCAAGGAGTGACATCACCTGTGGGACATGGCAGCTCCAATACAACACACTCCTCCCTGAAAGAAAATACAAAGCATACATTAGAACACTGCAGACAGTAACTATCGCCAGAAACATGATCCGAACAGAATTTAAAGCAGTTACAGGTCCCATCTGTGTCTCATTCAAGACAGATTCCACTTAACTTCCTGTGCTTTAGTGACAACAGGAAATCTCTTAAAGCTAGTTGTCACCAGGACTAGGGTCCCCAATGGGAATCACATACTGTGTATTATGACACCTAATAGTGTGACAGTTCCAAGTCACTGACACACTAAGTAGTGATCAAAGGATAAGAATGACAGGCCTGGGATCTGCACCTTCAAAGTCCTCTGCAGGGGAGGGACATTAGAGAAATGCCTCTGTAGGTGAGGAACCATAGAGAAACAGCTCTGCAGGGGAGGGGCAATGGAGTGCCAACTTTGCAGGGGAGGGATCGTGGGCAAAGAGGGATGATGAGGGAGGTTTGGGAAGGGGCAGTTGGAAGTCGGTCCTGAAAGGGATGAATAGTGAGGGGGACCATGGGTAGAGATCTGCACAGGAAACAATGAGAGAAATAGCTCTATATAGGATGGACGCTGAGCAGATAGCTCTGCGGGGGCGGGCCCATTCAATGACAAGCTGCTCTCACCTTGATATGATCCCCGGGGTGCTGGCAGCAGGCTGGGCCGGGCGTGTTACATGAAGCACAGAGGAGAGATCAGCATGACAGAGCCAGGAGCTGGAGCAGAGCGCAGGGCCCCGGGCACTCTGCACTGAGGACATCTCCCGGCATACACCCTGCTATGCCATTGCTGGACGTGTCACCGCCATAACAAGGAGCTCAGGCCGCCTGCCAAGCCACTTACTACATTACAAGTCTAAATCAATGAGCTTCTACAATGGGCAATACATTCTCCAAAGCACAATTTCCGCCCACCGCAGGGGGTACTAGAGGCGTAACTCTCTGTCAGCCTTTGCTACCAGCAGCCATTTTGTTGTAGCCCTCAGTCGTCTACTACCAGTTTCGTGTTACAAGTCTGCTCACCTCGCTAAATAGTCATCTTGCTAATGCGCATTGTTACTTTCCTGCTCCAATTTCCCATGCTTTCATTCTCCTTCTTTCTCACACTTTCAATGTACCTGAAAGAGGCGTTTAGGTCTCCAAAAAAATGGCCGACGCTGTCATGCAAGTATGAACGGAGCTCTATCGAAAGCTTCGACTTGTCGACCTCTCCAGCTGGTGACGTCACATCCGGTGACTGCCAGTAGCTGTACAGCAGATGGAGCTTGTGCGCATGGGCAGAAAATCCTTGTCGAACTGTCTAACTAGTGCCACTGAGTCACGTGTGCAGGGGTGGAGTTACAAGAATGTGTGCTAGAGGCGGTGATGTGTCGAAAGTGCGAACTTATCGATCAGCGGAGTTAGAGGATTGGCGTGCGGGAGGCGGAGTTAAAGCACTGATCTATTCCTCAGTGGCTTACAATGTTTCCCATTCCCATCCTGTGTGTGGAACACGTTGGCCATGCACAGTAGGGTTGCCACCTGTACGGTATTCACCCGGACAGTCCGGGTTTTGAATGCTGTGTCCGGGTTTCATGGCAGCAGAAACCCGGACACAAGATGTCAGGCAGACAGGGGCAACCAAAATTAAGATAGGGGCTACTGGCCCCCCCCACTGAAAATAGTCTGGACTGTGAAATTTACATATGAATGGGTGGCGCTATTTATTTATGAATAGCCGCGATTCATTTGTCCCAAAAAATGTCTGCGCTTCGCTAGTGTTCGGGTTTCGCTTGAAGAAAAGGTGGCAACCCTAATGCACAGCGCCACCTAGAGGTCAGCAGAGAGCTCCGAGGATATAGGAAGATGTTCCCACCGTGCTAAATGTACACTTTGGGGGGGAATTTATCAAAACTGGAGCAGATTTGCATTGCAACCAATCAGCTTCTCTCTTTCATTTTCAAATCCCAACTGAGCAAACTGAAGAGAGAAGCTGATTGGTTGCCCTGTCTGCTCCAGTTTTTATAAATTCCCCCCATTGCATCGTTATTTCATGAATAATAAAATGTGTTATAAAAAAAACAACCGAATTTATGATGAATGTCTCAGAAAGTAGATGTGAGCCGTAGCTGGACGATGTTTAGTTTGCCCTGTGCACTGTGTATAGTGATGAGCTGAATGTGCCTGGGTTCTTTTCACTGGTCATTCACCAAACTCATCCAATGGCCCTCCATTTTATCAGACTTCAATGAAAAAAAGAGTTTCATGGCAGCAGAAACCCGGACACAAGATGTCAGGCAGACAGGGGCAACCAAAATTAAGATAGGGGCTACTGGCCCCCCCCACTGAAAATAGTCTGGACTGTGAAATTTACATATGAATGGGTGGCGCTATTTATTTATGAATAGCCGCGATTCATTTGTCCCAAAAAATGTCTGCGCTTCGCTAGTGTTCGGGTTTCGCTTGAAGAAAAGGTGGCAACCCTAATGCACAGCGCCACCTAGAGGTCAGCAGAGAGCTCCGAGGATATAGGAAGATGTTCCCACCGTGCTAAATGTACACTTTGGGGGGGAATTTATCAAAACTGGAGCAGATTTGCATTGCAACCAATCAGCTTCTCTCTTTCATTTTCAAATCCCAACTGAGCAAACTGAAGAGAGAAGCTGATTGGTTGCCCTGTCTGCTCCAGTTTTTATAAATTCCCCCCATTGCATCGTTATTTCATGAATAATAAAATGTGTTATAAAAAAAACAACCGAATTTATGATGAATGTCTCAGAAAGTAGATGTGAGCCGTAGCTGGACGATGTTTAGTTTGCCCTGTGCACTGTGTATAGTGATGAGCTGAATGTGCCTGGGTTCTTTTCACTGGTCATTCACCAAACTCATCCAATGGCCCTCCATTTTATCAGACTTCAATGAAAAAAAGACACATTGGAAATCTCATCTTTGGAAATTTATGGTGGATGAGCTCATTCATGGTGCAATGCCTGTGCAAGAACCCCAGGATGTGGGTCAGCAAGGACCGGGACCGGTTGGCCACCCTTTGGATCCACATTACAAGTCGAAAACACCAGAACCCATCTGGTCATCACAGAGGGAGCAAAAAACGAAAGTACTTTTACAATGGCTGCATGACATCTTTTAGAATGGGCTTCTTGATGGTGACAGTTTGACGTGCCTGTGGAATGTGTGTTGTCACCACCGCTCATAGTCTCCATCAAGGGAGAATGTGATAACACAGTACAGCAATTGGCACAGAGCTGTCACCCCGTAGGCCCCTTTCACACAGGCTGGTCAGGAGAGGATCCGTGCACAGAGCAGTACAGATCGGATGTTTCTGCTGGGACATCTGTGTTGCAATGGAGGGAAAAAAATGCAATACGTACCCCTTGCCAGTCTATGGGGAATCGGGTGTGAATGAACATGTCTCCGTTACCATCAAACTACCCCCGATCCGGCATGATCCGGTCCAGAGAAATGGAACTGGCCGGCGTTATTCGTTTGCATACGGCTACCCATAGACTTACTTTGGGCTTCAGATCAGCTCGGTGTCAGGAGTCGGGTGCGACCAGGTGTAAAAGGACACGGCTGCCCATAGACTTACATTTTCTTCCGATCAGGCCCGCTTGAAAACCAGACAAGTGTAACCGATCAGACCGGCCGCGCGAAAGGGGCCTAAACACGAAACTGCCTGAACAAGGACCTGAATGGTAGGAGGACCAGGTATTCTTAAATGAAAGCTGCTGATATAAAAAGATTGAAAATTACTTTTGGAATTACATTGTCAAAGGGATGCACCGAAATTTCAGCCGCCGAAACATATCGGACGAAAATGGCACTTTTGTCAAAATGCCCACAGTGCACTTTTGTGCCCGGAATAGTGGTGCATCTGTGATTTCTCTCCTTCCCGCTGAGCGCTGCTCTTTGTCCCAGCAGGGAGGAGAGAAACTGTCACAGGAGGCTGAGCGGTGCGGGAGGAGAGCGCTGTGAGCCCCGCACCACTCGGCCACCTGTCACAGAAGCGAGGCGTGGGGGTGGAGACAGCTGCCACAGGAGGCTGGCTGGCGGTGTGGGGGAGGAGTCAGCTGTCAGATCGAGATCTCCTCCCCGCACCCCTCGCTCAGCCTCCTGTGGCAGCCGATCCAGGATGGAGAGCGAGTACAAGCAGTCGGTGATCGCTGAGTGTTTGTAGATAATTGAGGACAGAGTATGGTTACTATATCCTCAATTATGAATGAATGGGAAGTGATCTACATCACCTCCTGTCCATTCATGATTGTGGGCATGGTAACCATACTTTGTTCTCATGTTATGAATGAACAGGAACACTCAGTATAGAGGATTCCTGTTCATTTATAACAGGGGCTGCAGACCCCTTCTATTTTAAAAGGGAAATATCAGGGGTCTGTTTAGACCCCTAATATTTCCCCCGATGCCCGCCCAACAATAAAGAAAAAAATAAAAACATTTAAACATTTAATAAACATTTAATAAAAATAAAATATACAAAAATGAAAAGTTTATAAAAAATAAAAAAAAATAAAAAAATGTGAAAAATAAAAATAAAACTATTTTTGGTTTCGGGCCGGACATTTTTTTTTCATTTCGGTTTTGTTCCGGGTTTGAAATTTTCATTCCAGTGTACCTCTAATATTAAAACTTGTATGGGATTTGAGTGATTTGCATTACCAGGCAAAGTGTCATTATGAAGGTCAGGCACTAGATGATGTTGCTGTAGCAGAGATAACCCCAGCATGAGCTTCTATGTAGTTCTGTCACCAGGGGACAAAAGAACATAATTCCAGTTTATGTAACTGCAAATGTAACGCTAAGCAAGAATAGCTACATACTGTACATAGTCAGTGTGCAGGCTCGACACTATGTCTGGGGGAGGCAACCTCGGCACTCCAGCTGTGGTCAAACTACAAATGCCATCATATCTTTGTCTCTGGGAGTTATGCCTGTGGCTGTCAGGGTCTTGCAATGCCTCATGGGACTTGTTGTTCCACAACAGTTGGAGTGCCGAGATTGCCTACCCCTGCACTATGTTATGGTCTGGTAGAACTAGATATATAGTCACTCTCAGGTCACTGCTACTGGAGGTGGGAACATTCCTGAGGCCCGGTTCACACCTGGCCGATTGCATTCTTGAGCCGTTTTCGCGTGGTTCTTTTTATGTGATCACCATGTGGAAATCCATGGGCGGCCCGGGGCCCAAGGCAGTTGTAGGGCCCACTGAGGTCCATTCCGGGGATTGTAGGCAGAGGGGGACTTAAAAACGGCTGCCACAGCGATCACTCTTCTCAGCATGAGAGAGCTGAGAAGAGTGGTCGCCATTCTCGATCACTGAAGCCGGCACACAGTAGTGACAGCTATACACATTCTTTTCTTCCTCGGCGGCTGGAGCCACAGAGCGGCCGAGGGGAGAAGAATCTGTTCAGCTGTCACTACTGTGTGCCATCTTCTGTGATCGGTCTGTCGGCGGCCACCTGCAGCTTCCTCCTCCAACTTCAGCTGCTATAGGAGGAAGACTGCAGTATCACTATTGGCCGGCTGGAGACTGGCTGGGGAGAAGTCTGCTGGTAAATGCAGGAAACATGGCTGCACCCAAACCCCCACCACCACCACCACCACCACCTGGAGAGAAAGAGGGCAGATCACATCTGTGTGCACTGTACGTTTTTATTCTTTCTGCGTCACATCTGCTGACCTCTGTACTGTGCATCACACCCTGACCTCTGCACTGTGTGCATCACACCCTGACCTCTGCACTGTGTGCGTCACACCCTGACGATTGTACTCTGCGTCACACCCTGACCTCTGCCCTCTGCGTTACACCGCTGACTTCTGCACTCTGCTTTACACCACTGACCTCTCTGCGTTACACCGCTGACCTCTGTACTCTGCGTTACACCCTGACCTCT